ATTATAGTGTTTATTCTTAATATAAATTATTCCTTTTAGTATATTAGGCTATAAGAATATAGGTAGATTTTTATTTCTTATAAATACTAGTATTCTTTTTACTAAATATCTATTTAATTTTTCGATTATTCCATTTTGGGAATGATGGTGAGGACTAATATATTCTAGTATAATTCCTTTAGATTTAGCGAATAAATTCTATTGATTGGAATTAAATTCTTTAGTATTATTTAATCTAATTACCTTTATTTTAGTATTAAATTGATTATATATCAAATAAAATACTTCTTTTAATATATTAAAAGCGTCTGATTTAAATTTTATGGAATATACCTATATGCTTTGTGTAGCCCAATCTGTGAAAATAATAAAATATTTTTTCCTTTTAATTCTGGTGTTTTAAATAATCTACAAATATCAATACTAATTTTATCAAATTTGTTTAATTTCAAATTTGATAGGGATTTACTAATATTTTGAGTTATTTTACTATATATATAGACTTTATAATAACTTAAATCCATTTTAGAATCTTTTAAATTTAATATTTTTATAATATAATCTTTATTTATATGATTTAAACACTTATACCATAAATTTAAATCTTTTAGATTTGTATTATTAGATTCTTTTTTAGATTCTAATTCTTTTTTAGATTTATTTATTTAATCTATTTTAGAATCTTTATTATTATTATAAATAATATTCTTATTTTGATTTAATAAATCATAATTTATATCGCATTCTAGGTAGAAAGCATTATCAATCCATTTAGTGTTTGCCTTTATATTTAAAAATTTATTCGAAAATTTATAAATATTGCTGGGGGGTAGTATTTCACTAGCCTAACCCTTTTTAGCGGCTTGTTTGGTGCTAATTAGAGTTGATTTTAATGATGGAATATGCTTTACCATTCGAATGAATATTTTCTTATTATTTATAATAATAGGAATATCCTCTTGTCCTAATACTAATATAGATTCTCTATTAGCTATATTTGTGTATTTTGGGACTTTATATTCTTTATAATTTATAAACCAATCTTTATTTGGGCAGTAGTGCTCTGTAGCTCCTGAATCTATTATAATATTATTTTTAGATCTACTAGTATGATTAGCTAGTATGGATATAGTTATAATATTATTTTCCCATTCAGGGCTAGATGCTAAATCATAGTTTATTTGAGAGGTCTGATTTATCTTATTATCAGAGCTTTCTTTATAATTTTTATTATTTTTATTATGATTTTTATTATTTTTCTTTTGTTTTTGATTGGAATTTTTATTATTTTTATTGTTTTTATAGGTCCTATTGGATTTTTTAAGGTTATTTAACTCTTTAGTAACTTTATAGAGTTATTTTTTGGAATTACTCTTATTATTAGAGTTTTTAGACCTTTTATAATCCTTATTATATAGTTCTAAGTGTTTTTTAAAACACTTTTCTTCTAAATACCCCTTTTTATTACAAAATGTATAATTTGGAATAGTATTTAATAGTTTTATAACCCTATTAGACTCTATAGAGCCTTTCATTCTTGATTCTTCGAATATTAATTCGGATATAAGCTTATCCAAATCAATATTATCATTATTATTTAAATCTTTTGATAATTCTTCTGTTTTTCGTGATTTAAACAAATCAAATAAGTCATTTAAACCATTAAATACAATCCATATTATATAAGATTTTTGCAATTCGAATTTTAATTCTTTTAAATATATATATAATGATAATATATAGTTTATATATTTATCTATATTATTAAAATCATTATAATTTGATTCTATTAATTTATTAAAATATCAGCCTATTATATCGAGTGAAATTTCATTATAAATCTTATTTATAATATCCCAGAGCTCTTTTGGATTTGTTTTTTCCTTAAATCTTTCCACTAAATCCATTAATATTATTGATTTTAGTATTACTAAAGCTCTTTTGGATTTATCTTCGTATTCCTTCACTTTTTCACTATATTTGAGATGAATTTCTCTTAAAATAGATATATTATTTTCTTTAAAATATAGGGATCAATCGGGGCCTTTTTTTGAATCGTCTATATAGAGTATAAAACCATTAGCCTCTAAAAAGAGCTTAGATTTATTATACTATTCTATATAATTAAATCGATTATTTAGTTTAGAACCTATAAACTTGATTCCTTAATTTATATTCATTTTTTATATATTTATATATAAATATTTTATTATAATGTAGTAAGTACTATATAATCAGAATCTTAATATAGCTTTTATAAAACTTTATTTCGGGAAGTGATTAGATTTTAGCTGTCACCTTTTGATATAAATCTATATAAATCTTTATATATAAATCTATTCAAACTAAAGCATTTTCGTATGAGATATAATGTTATACGATCCGCTATGGATGATGTATATGTATATGTATAGCTTCTAGGAACCTAGTTTTATTTTTCAATTAGGTTTAGTCTTAGGGACACAAACTAAAAATAGGTTAAAAAAGCTTAATATATTAATAAATAATATATTTATATATATATTAATAATATATTTATATATATATTAATATAAAGAGATATATATATAGATTTATTGATCTATATCTCTTGATGTAAACATACAATTATAAGGAATTTGATATCCGTCTAGACGATCTAATTCCTTATTAATTATATTATCTATTAAATCGATATTTTCGGATTCAAGATCGAAGAGATTGATATTCGCGTCTATTTGTGAATATATAATAGCGTTCCTTATATAAATAGGGGACCAAGCGTTCTATTGCATAGAATTTGATATAATAGTTTCTATATTATAATTATATAATATAGAAATATTATATATTGAATCTTCGATGCCTAATTGATCTAATTCAGCTTGAGTTTCGTTTCCTTACACTTTTGAATAGTATTTAACTATTATTCGAAATTCTATTTTAATAATAAGATTATTATTATTATAGGTTTCTTCCTTACTTTCATATTGAATCGCTTCGTATTCCCTATTATTTAATCTCTTTTTGAATCTTTTAACAATTCTTGTAAGTATATCCTAACCTATAAGATTCATATGATATATGATTTATATCATAATATACAATATACTTTCGTATACAGGGATTTGATATAATCTTAATCGATTGACCTCTCTTCTCACTAATCTGAATATTAAATCGATATTTTGATCTTCAATTTGAATTAGATTCGGATTCGTATTTAGTCCTTTCTCTATAATAGCACTTTGAATATAGATCGGATTCCAGGCTTCTTCAAAAGTAAGATTGGAATTCCTACTAATAGCTTCTGAATCAATATTATAATATATAATTAAACTATAATTAGAATCTGATATGCCTAGTGAATCCAATTAGGCTTGGCTTTCAGTTCCTTGAGCTATTAGATAGTATTTGACCTTTATTGAATATACAATAAAATAATATAAATTGTTTATATATCTTTCTCTTCTTTTTTCGTATTGAATTATATCATATTCCCTATTATTTAATGTTCTTTTATACCCTTTTATTGTTTAATCGGGGAAGTCTTCGATTAATTCCATATATATTATAGGGTCGACAGTGTATATATAATTCGCAGACATATATAAGAATCAACAAGAGTTCGTATATAAGCAACAACTAGCTTTATACCTCCGGTGAGGTGTGATATTTAACTCTATTATACCCAGTGACGTGTAGTAAAGGGACTACTATATACCCAGTGATGTATAGTGTTGATATTATATATATCTAGTAACATATATTGAGAAAGCTTATTTGCACCTGGTGATGTATAATATTGATGATATATACATCCGGTGATATATATACTCCTTTTTATACTACCTAGTAGTACGACAAGGGTATTATATATATATATGGGTGTATATATATATATTTAAGATTTGAATAAGGATTTAAGGTCAATGTAAATTCGTATTAGCATATAGGATTGCTTGTATAATGTATGAGGCGTCTTGATTGAATGAATTTCTTTGTATTCTTTGCTTTTAGGTGCGAAGTCGATTGTCTTTCGGCTTTTTTACTCTTTTCTTGCTTTTTCGACGCGTATTGGTATATGTATTGCGATATGCATATGCTTCTTTTTAGTCGTATATATGAGTTACCAAGCTCATAACCTATTGTAGATCATAGACTAATAGTATAGTATAGAAGCTGGCTCTAATTAACGACTAAAATGGATTATATAAGCAGTGTGACACGTGATATTAAAGAATCTGTATTGAAAAAAAATAGTGATCTCTCTTATTCTACATTCAAGGGAAAAAAAGCCTCTTTTTATGCTTTTTCCTTCTAATTCAGTATTTCCGCTTTCATAAATCTCTTGTAGATCTCTTCCTAATCCGTCCATTCTTTCGAAATAAAGCCCCTTTTTGTTTTCTTTATTTTATAGCCGTTTTCGTATTTTATGGCCGTTTTCGTATTTTATGGCCGTTTTCGAATTGATGGTTGTTTTCGGATTAATGGTTGCTTTCGTAAGCTTATAAGCGACGATCATATGATCTGATTATATAATAAGCTAATATTAGATTGAATGCCTTTAAAAAGATATATATATTATATTATTTTTTAATTAAAACAATAGAAACAAAGCAGTCGCGTTATCAAATAGTCTACTATTCAATATGACTTGACACTCTCAAGAATCCAACAGATGACAAGTATTGAATTCTATGCATAAACTTTTGGGTCAATCGCTTGCTTACCGTCCAACTTCAATCAGTTAATATGAAGCCAACTTAGACTTACAATACGTCATACCTAGCGAGATAGTTGGACTTCATTGCCTCCTCTTTCCAAGGGCAATGTTGTATCACAATCATATTCACCGCCTCCAATCCATTTTCAAAAACTAAATCCATTCACGTCCTCAAGATATGATACTTAACTTACTGAATATACACAATATAGCACCCAGGAAGAAATTAAACATTCACAAGATATTTTACACTTCACAGGCACAGTTTTCAGCTTCCGGCAAAGTAACCATAACAATGCCACCACGTTCCTCCAAATCTACCGATGTTGTCCTCCTACCTTCTCCCGGCCAATTTACCCGTCCTCCACCATCTCAATATTACACCTATCGTATTCAGAGAGGGGAACAGGGAGTTTTAACGTATGAGCCTTACAAGTCCTATCTCCTCCCCCTTTGGCGATTCCGAACTCCCTCGATTGCAGAAAAGTCCTCGAAAGCCTTGTACGAAGAATTTCTACGTTTTTACGAGGAAGATGATTTTGTGGGTATGGATATGAGTAGAAAGTTTATACAAATGGGTATGACGCGATCGAAACGTTATGCGAATCATAAAGGGGGACGAAAATACGATATTGGAAAGGATGGGCAAAAAGAAGAAATAGAAAAGAGTCAAGGGCATGAAGGTCAGGAAGATAAACTGATTGCTAGTGGCATATTTAAAGAAATGTGGGAAAGGTGCCGCGGGCATGAAGGGTACAAAGCTTTGAAGGAAATGTTTCAAAAGGAGTTGAAGGACTGGATAAGTGTACACGGAGAGAAAAAACGAAATGAACAAGAGGGTTTGAAAGTTAAAGAGCAGGAACAAAGTGAAGAAAGAAAATATATAAAACAAGAGGGCGAAGATGTAGAGGACTCGACGAATCTTCGACAACGAAAGAGGCCATGGAGTGAAATAAAAGAGGAGCAAAAAATTAAGAAGGAAAATAGTGTAGAGGAAACATCGAGCAACCCAAGAATGAAGCGAAAACGAATCGATCTTTGATCTGCCGCTATGTGTATACCCTCCGCTTGATTGTGAATTTCATATCATATCCTCATTCGATCTTTGAAGTGTCCAGTAGCCTTCCAACCCTTTCCATTGTACTCCAGCAACGAAAATTCAAACGACTTGATGTTTTGTTTTGCGATCCTGATTCAATAAAAACTTAAATGTAGTATAATTCTGGATCCAACAGAGAGTAACAATCGATGCATCCTTTACCAACGCCATAGAACTCCCCTGTATCCTATTATCCAAAATATAGAGATTCATTTATGAATTCGACTTTTGGTCCTCCTTGCTAATCTCGTCCTCGCAGCCGTGGATCTATGGGCAAGACAAATTAGCACAATCCGTTCGACTTATCTCCCCAGCCCAATTCTATCATTGCTCTTCTCCTGCCATTCCACTACCAAAACAATCGAAAGGGAAAACATACCGCGCTCGCCCATGCCATCCACTCTTCCATTCCTCTGACGACCATATCACCACTCGCATCAACCAAACACTCGTGCCCCCATACCGTCAAGTCATCAAAAGTGCCTTCCTCATCCACTATCTTCGTTTCAATTTCCTTTTCTGCCACTTCATCCTCGTCCTCCTCGTTCTCTCTTCTCTCATCCTCAGTGGTGGATTCTCGTGGCATGATTTCTTCGCCCACTCTTAATACAACCCCCTCCATCCTGCCGGAACCTTAACCTTCCTACCGATCAATCTTCTACCTCTGAAATATGACACCAATTCTTCTTTTCCCCTTTGATTCTTGGTAATTTTTGGATCCCAATGTCTTTTTTCGATCCGAATTGGGGCCGTGTGATTTATGCGACATGGGATGAGATTAGGTGTGTGTTTTTTCGAGGATTTTGAGGAAGATTGATTAGATGGACGGATCGCGAGCATGATGCTTAGGATCTTTTGTCTTTTGCGATATGTGTGCGAGGATAGTCTCTCGTGATTGAAGTGTGCAAAGTCGGTTTGAATGAATTGAATTGATGTATGTTTGCAATAGAGAATCAAAGTTTTTGACAATCTGTACGAGTATGCCCGTGAGAGACGCGACTTTGACGCGTTTGCGATAAAGTACTTGCGATTGGATCTCAGACTGCCTCACCCCACTTAAGCTAACATCATGTTACAGACCGAGCTGCCGAATAGTTCAGCAGCATTCGTTCAGATTGCATCCAGACTCGAGCCAGATTTGATTTGTATTGAACGAAGCTTGACTTTTTTATTTGATATTTGTAGGTCTATGATACTCTCCAGTAGGTATACAGAGTGAGGATGTATGAATTGTTATCTTCTCCATACTTTGATTTATAATCAAATCGATTACTCACACATCACCATCTATCTCATCTACACTCTTCCTTCGGGCGACTAGATCCGTGTTGAACATTGTGATGTTCTCTTTTCCGTACCCAACACCAATGGGAACACGTGATAGATATATATACATATACACGAGGATGTCGGTATGTATTGTCGTTTCTTTCCTTCTCTCTCAGAAATTCTACTCATCTCTATGTTCAAGCCATCCTCTCATAACGAGGTAGGCATAGGTAGAGTCCATGATACACTTCACCCTTTTCACATGCCATGCAACATACAACATTGTCTTACCAATACAAACCGTCTACGCCTTCTACTAATTTGTTCAAGGTATATCCTCCGTACCACAACAGAATCCCTCACGTCTTCCTCCCTACCAAAAGACAAAGACTTTCCTTTCCTGGCCAATTGAATATCCTCCGATCCGTAAAGAGTGGCTCGGGACGTTGTCTATCGGAATTGACCCCTGGCATATTACCTAATCACCCACATTTTCTTTCAAATGCCATATCCCAAGGTTACGTTTCCCATGCCTTCCACTCTTGCACTCTTCCACTCTTGCCTTCGATTCGGACTTTTATTTGGAAGAGTGGAAAAGATGTATTCAAATCGTTCGCGCCGGGAGTGTACGGACTCCGATGGTATCGTGCGATAAGTTTCATTGGGAGACATCCTGTGGGAAATGTATCGATATGTCGATATAAGATACGGGAAAGGATCAATTGATGATGTCAAGACTTTGGTATCATAATCAGATGGATAGTGCTAGGTAGGCGGGCACACCACTCATATCGATTTACTACATCTCTTCTTTTTCACACTAGCTACATTTCGCTTTGTCTCCCCGGGCTGAGCCTTGTTTATACGAACACGTTAATCATTACACGAAGGATACAAGTTCATAGCCACAGCCATACTCACAGTCTCACACATGCTTGGGGTTAGCTGCTTACTAGGTGTGTGCTTGGAATTGCCTGCGAGTATGGTACGTGCAAAAACAAAAGAAAAGGTCTAAACTCCTTATATTTACATCTTACTATTTAATCTGTTGTCCTTCCACCTTCCTTCAAGCCAAAAAGCTTGATCAATTGATGTCTGTGTTCAAAGTCCAAGCACATCCTAATATCGATACATTCCACACAGATCTCCCGACAAGATACACTAATAGCGGGGCTCCCCATCTGCATGAACTATTTTCACCCCTCCCTAAACCACATGCTTACTAGCCCTTGTTTCCTTTCCATGTACTCAAGCATTGCATGTTTGGCGGTCTTCGGGAAACATCGTCATCCGGGCCCTTCGTGCTTCGCTCTTTTTTTTTCTTTTTCGGTTTTGATCTAGATTCATAATGTGAGTATTGCCTCTCTCTTTACATCTCTCTCCTCGACTTTGTATTGTGTTGTCTTGTGCTGATATACCGTATCAGTGACAGAGAGATAGATACCAATTCCTCTGCTTCCTCTCCATTCCCTTTTGAAAGTAATCCCAATCACATCAGTGGTTGTGCGAAGCTCAAGCTCAGCATCTAGCGTGGTGATAGCTTAGTCTCCACAGCAGAAAAGGTTCCCACCCACGGCACTACCCATCTAGTACCTCGACCGAGTAAACAGTTTTCTCTCCCTTCACCTTCCTGTCATTTCAGTTGATATTTTCATCCCTTCTGCTCTACACGCGCAGGTCGTTAATACAATAATTTCCGAAGTTTTTCATTTGAATGTTCTCAAACAAGCTTCCTACCACCATAATGGCTTCCTACCTCCCTGACGCCATCACCGCGCCCGTAACGAAGAGTACCGATTATCTCAAGAGTACAATCGGTGGTTTGACTTGGGGCCCAGCTCTTTCTGTCTCAAAAGCTGCTGTCACCTCATTGTTCGGACGAATTGAGCGTGGCACACTGCTCGTTACCGATGCCGAAACTGGAAAAACCATATGTTATGGAGCGAAGATTGCAAAGGAACGCAAGGCCAATGGAGTGAACGGCGCGAATGGACACCATAACTCGCGCAAAGCTGGTGCAGCAAGAAAGATAGAATTGAGAGTTATCAATCAAGCATTTTGGGTGCGCCTATTCTTGTTTGCCGATATGGGTTTCGCGGAGGCGTATATGTTGGGAGAAGTGGAATGTGATGACTTGACTGGATTTTTCGAGGTAATTCAAGCTTCCCCCATGCCACGCGATCTCACAATTTCATACTAAAAGCCATCTCTAGCTTTTTATCCAAAATCGTAATCAACTGGCAAATGCCACAACTCTAACCTCCTCTATCGCCGCCACTATTACAGGACTCGCCCGAAGCACCAACACTTTGTCCAATTCTCTCCTCAACGTCTCCGCGCATTACGATATCTCTAATGAAATGTTCGCTGCATTCCTTTCCGAAGATATGACATATTCATGCCCAATATGGAAGTCCATTTCCAGCGCTTCATCCGAATTTGACGAGGAAACACTCGAAGAAGCGCAGAGAACGAAACTCGATCGATTCATAGACGGGGCAAAAATCAAACCCTCAGATCATGTATTAGAGATTGGTACTGGATGGGGTTCATTTGCCATTCAAGCCGTTAAACGAACAGGATGTCGTGTAACAAGTTTGACCTTATCCGTTGAACAAAAAGCCTTAGCCGAAAAGCGCATTTTCGCAGCCGGCTTCGCGGATAGAATTGAAGTGAAACTTATGGACTATCGAGCGCTACCCGTCCCAAAACAACCTTATGACAAGATAATTTCCATTGAGATGCTCGAAGCTGTTGGGGCAGAATACCTGGAAACGTATTTCTCCTGCATCCATCGATTATTGAAACCAGATGGAATTGCCGTGTTCCAATGCATTACTATGCCAGAGGGTCGATATGAGGCATACGCAAAGGGTGAGGATTTCATTCGAAAATACATTTTTCCGGGTGGCCATCTTCCTTCCATTACACAATTAATTGATAATATCACCAAAGCCTCAGAAGGAACACTGGTGGTTGAAAAGGTGGAGAATATCGGAGGTCATTATGCGAAGACGTTGCGATTATGGAAAGAAAAGTTCTTGGCAAATTTTGAGTCAAGGATTAGACCTGCCTTGATGGCGGAGCACGAGGAGATGGGTGAGAGAGAGGTAGAAGTATTTAGAAAAAAGTGGGAGGTACGTATTTCCACATCCACCATACAAATTTATCCCAACATCGCATGCGCTAACATGCTCACACAGTACTATTTCACATATTGCGAAGCAGGATTTGCAACAAAGACCCTTGGAGATGCAATAATCACAGTGGGTAGAGAAGGAGCATTGGAATTGATGGATGGTATTCCCCTATAATTTCGAGATCCGGGTTTATGTTGAGGTTATTTTCTTGTAGCGCTTGGAGTCGGTGGATGGGAGGGGTAATGAATTTCTCTTCTTTCTAATTTTCAAAAGTCATAGAGGAATTGGCACTGCATTAGAGTGGCAGTGTGTTAGATCATAGAGACTTGACCTTTTTGTCATGGATAACTTATAGTATATGATTAGTGCTGGCTTTTCTTGTGCTTGCTAATGAAACAGTGCCCGGCTGGGATGTAATTGTTTTATTGATGCTCGTAAAAGTGTCTTCGAATTTTGAAACCATCGCTCGAGTTGATGCGTCTCTCTCTTAACGCCAGCCAAACTCCCAACTCCATTGAATACCAATATTTACTTGAACAATGCTCTTGTCAAATTTTTTACAATAAAGTAGAGTCCCTGCACCATTACCAATCAAATGGTGGTGATCCTAAAAATCTTCAACGCTTCCCTTTCTTCTTCTTCTTATTCGGCTTGGACTTCGAAGACACACCGGAGTGTGGAGGATGATGCTTTGCATGTTCAATATCGAAAGCCGATTTGTGTTTCCTAAACAGAAGTATAGTTGCTCTTGCATCCTCAATACTAGAATGTTCACCACCTTGTATATCCACACCCAGAATCTCCTTTGACAACTTCTTCAAACTCGGTGTCCTCCCATTACTGTATTTTCTGAAGCCCGAGAATTTCGACGTATCTCGTATGTCTCTCTTTGGGTGGCTCAGTATCATGGCTTCCAAATCATTCTTTATCGCATGTCCCACCAATATCCTTCCCTTCAAAATCTCGGCCACATCTCTCTGCACCACATCAAACTCCCTCGCCGTCGCCATATTTTTTGTCGAAACACCAGAAACATGAGTTCTCCAATCCGTAACAAACTCTTTGGGTCGCACAAAAGAATCGTATATCTGCGTGCCATGGAAATTGACAATGCTAACTCGAGCCAATACCGATCTATCTTCGGAACCTCCTACACCTACCATCTCACAATCAATTC